TAACCGCTAGTGTAAGTACACACGCACACAGGCACACACGCACACACGCACACAGTGACAGCAGAGCCTTAACCGCTAGTGTAAGTACACACGCACACACGCACACACGCACACAATGACAGCAGAGCCTTAACCGCTAGTGTAAGTACACACACACACGCACACACGCACACACACGCATGCATATTCACGTACATATGTGCATTTGTCTTTCTGCGTACAAATATAGAATTGTATCCAACCAGGGAAACAAAGGGTGTGGGGCGGTATATACAATACGGTGCCCTTTTTTGGTTTTTTTTGTTTTTGTTTTTTTGAGTTGGAGTCTCACTCTGTCCCCCAGACTGGAGTGTAGTGGCCGCTCCCGGCCACCGCAGCCTCGACCTGCTGGGCTCCAGCGATCCTTCCTCCTCAGCCTTCTGAGTAGCCGGAATTACAGGCTTGCGCTACCACGCCCGGCTGATTTTTTGATTTATTGTAGAGATGAGGTCTCGCTGCTCAGGCGGGTCTTGAGCCCGCGAGCTCAGGCAATCCACTCACCTCAGCCTCCCAAAGGCGCGGGATTACAGGCTGAGCCACCGAGCCCGGCGCCCTTTCTTGTTTAAAAGAAGGGAACAAGATAAATATATTTGTAATTACATTACTTGCATCAAAGACTGGAAGCGTCCACAGGAAAGTAAGTAAGAGCAGATACTTGTGGAGGAATAAGTGGAAGGGAGAATGAGCTGTTCTCTGTAAACTTCTTGTATTTTCCTTTTGAACTGTGACTATTTTACTTATTCACAAAGTTGTATAAGCTGCGATCCGGCTCACGGAAGAGGGAAGGCAGGGATTCTCTGAGCCCCCAGTTTTCGTTATTTAAATGCTCCCTTGTGGCTTCCTGTGACTTTGTATCTGGATGGTGGGGATGGGAGTGCTTTGTAACTGGGGTCCCCCCTGGAGGGGTGGGCTCCCCCACAGCCGCACTCTCCAGCAGTCCCCAGGGCAGATGGGGAACTCCGTCTGGTGTGGGTTTGACAGGAGCCGGTCTGTAGAGCGTGCTGGGAGTCTGGTCGGTTCCTGGGTCCAGCCTCCTGTGGGGCTGGCAGATGCTGTGTTCCTGCTCTAACCTTCCTAGATGTGGCCTGCGTGGCTTCCCTTCTCGCGTGGCCAGAGCTCAGATTTCACACCCCAAGGGAGGGCTCGGGAGGAGGTTCCCAGGGTAGTTTGGATGAGGGTCCCCCCAGTCCTCTGAAAGGAGCTGCCTTGTCCGATCACTTTTACCCATCTGCAAATATTTCTAGACCCAGCCCTGCAGACTTAGAGGTGACCCCAAGAGGCCAATGACATTCCTGAGGCACAGTAAACAAATCACCCCACAGATGTTAAACTCCGCAAAGGAGACGCAACAGGGTGGCCTGAGAATAGGGGAAGGGCAGGGAAGCGAATTTCTCTGAGGCATATCAGGAAGGTCTGAGATGAGAATGAAACAGAAACCTAATATGAAGCAACCCCCTCTGGTCCCCTACTGTTGTGGGAGCTTCTCTGTTTTCTCAACATATCCTACTTTCAAAAAAAAAAAAAAGGAAACCCAACAAGAAGGCCAGGTCATTGAAGATCAGTGGAAAGGGCATTTTGGGCTGAAGGAACCATAAGTGCAAAGGCCCTGTGGCAGGAACAGGTTGGCAGCAGGAAATGTGAATCAGATGAGACCACAGCTTGTCAGGGCGTAGGCTGTGGCATGGCAGGAGCCTGTCTTCTGGGGTCTTGCTGGGTACAGGGGCCTTGGCGAGTAACTCATGTTCTCTGTGCCTCAGTTTCATCTCCCATAAGATGGGCATAGCATTAGTCCCTCCCTTGGGGTTGTTGGAAAGGTTAAGTGACTTGAGATATGTAAAGCGCTTAGAACAAACACAGGTGAGTGTTTGCCTTGCCTTGTTCACCGGGCTTTAAACACTTTAGTGCATCCTGGCCACTCGAGCCACTGCTGAGAGTGAAGTCTTGGGCCCACCTCTTCCCAGCTACGGAGCAAGTCGTCTTCTTCTCTGAGCCTCGTGCTCCCACCTGGGTCCTAGAGCTGTGTGGATCCAGTCAGGGCATGCACGTGTGCCTGTGAAGCGCTTGGCTTGGCTGGCAGTGTCGGCTCCCAGGACCCGGCCGGCCTTCCTCCAAGGCCATTTCCCTGGGAATCTTTCCTGAGAAGAAGGGGAAGAGCCTCAGGGTGGGAGGGGGTGGCCAGAGGCAGGCTGTGTCCACAGGGTTGCTGACTCCCTGGGGACCAGAGTGACCCCTGATTTCCCAGGGAAGAATCAGCTTGCTTCTTTCCTGAGGACGTCCAGAGAGGGTGAGTGGGCATGCAGAAGATGGCATGATGAACACCATCCCTGGGCACGTGCTGAGCGCCAGCTCCACGCTGGGCATTTTGCGTGCACACTCTGTAGTAGGGATCCTCCAGGGAAGGTGGTCATAGGGCCACTTACAGATGGGGAAACTGAGGCTCAGAGAGGTAAAGCAACTTGCCTGCAGCTGGAAAGTGGAGGAATTGGGAACTGTAGGATTCCCAAGTCCGTGTTCCTTTTTATTTTTTTAAATTTGTTTTAATTTTTAGAGACAGGATCTCTCTCTGTCACCCAGGCTGGAGTGCAGTGGTGTGATCATAGCTCACTTCAACCTTGAACTTCTGGCCTCTGGTGATCCTCCCATGTCAGGCTTCCGAGTAGCTGGGACTGCAGGCACATGCCACCAAACCTGGCTAGTTTTTTGTAGAGATGAGGTCTCGCTGTGTTGCCCAAGCTAGTCTTGAACTCCTGGACTCGAGTGATCCTCCGGCCTCGGCCTCCCAAAGCACTGGGATTACAGGCTCAAGCCATTGCCCCGGACTTGTGTCGGCTTGCTTGTTGCCTGTGTGTGCTTTCACTGTGTGGAGTTGCCTCTCGGATTTCTAGGAACCGAGACGGGATAGGAGTGGGCCACCCATGTTTTTTCTCGCCTCCAGACCTTTGTGCGAGCTGTTCCCTCTGTCTGGAGCACTCTTGCCTTCGATTCGATGCTTATACGTGGGAACCCTTCTGCCCAGGATGGCATTTCAAACGTGTCCCCCTAACCCCGTCTCTTGATGAAACAGATGCTCTTCATTGCTCAGGGCTCAGTGTGGCTGCTACCCCCTTCCAAAAAGCTGTCTTTCCATGCATCCTTTCTGGGTTAAATACTCATCTTCAGGGCTCACAGAGACCCAGCAGGTATCACACCATGTGTTAATTGTCACTTTGTCACCTGCCACCCCTTGGAAACCTGGCGCTCCTGAGAGCAGAGAGTGTCTTGTTCACCTTTGTATGCAGTTCCTGGTCCACAGTGAGGACACAGGAGGGTCCCATGGAAGGGCCAGGTGGGGGACATCCCTGGGGACTTCACAACCCAAGGAGCCTTGCCCAGGAGCAGGCAGCCAGGGGCAAACGCAGTCTCACTCTCACCAGCTGGCCTTGGTACACCTGCCCTCCGGCACCTCCAGTCCCCTCCCTGTGTGATGGAGCCTCCTGGTGTCTGCACTGAGCTGGCCTCACCAAAAATAGACTCGAGCACTGGCTGGCCCACACAGGGGCATCAGCTGGCCGGCGTGCCCACCTCCCTGTCCCCTGCTTGCTGGAGTCTCACCAACTGAGTTAAAGCAGAAACAAGCATTCCCAGGCATCTCTTCTGAGCCAAGAGCGCTCACTACTGAGGTGGCTAAAATCCGTACACAGCACCCCAGCAAAGGCATTCTGGGGTATGCTTGCCTTTCCCACACACCCTCGGTGGCTGGAGCCGAGTGGCATCCAGGGTGTGTGCCGAGGTAGGAGGTGGGCCCTGGTGGGGAGGGTCTCCCTGGGGGCCTTTCGCCTAGGTTAGTTCCCCTTCAGCACCTTGAGCTGGCCTGGAGGTGGCCCTGCTTCCTGTCCCCCCAGTCCGCATCTGCTGCTGGATTTGGAAAGGAAATCATAAGAAGAGGATTCTGGGAAAGGTGGAGGGTCTGTTTTTTCCTTCAGGCTCCAAAACAGCTCCGCAGGCATGCCCATGTGGATGCCAAGAAGCTGCCAGAAGGAAAAGGGAAAAAAAAAAAACCAACAAAATCTCCAGATCTTGAGTTCAGAGCTCCTGATGGGAATGGCTGATGTTTGTCGGGCACTTGTCATCTGTCAGATACTGAGCGCAGCTGGGCGGTGTATCCGTGGTAACTGATGGAATCCTCCCAGGAACACTGCTGGTGGCCCATTTTACAGATGAAGGAGTCGAGGCTTGAGAGAGGAAGTGAGTCCCCAAGGCCCCAGGCTAATGAGAAGTGGGATCAGGGTTCCATTCCTGGTCTGACCCCAAGCCTCGTCCTCTGGGGAGGGAGCCAGAGATGCAGGGAGGGCTGGCGCGGCCAGAGCTTATTGGTGGAGATGGCACTAGCCTCTCCACTGCGTTCTCACCCCTGGGCAGCACGCTTCGGGTGATAAAGTTTTCAAGTGGCTCCAGACCATGTTCTGCTGCCAGGATGGGCTAGATGTGTCCTCTGCCCTCCAGAAGCTGAGGGCCTAAGGCGGCCAGGGGAGCACCCAGACGGCCAGCAGACAGGGGTAAGGCTGGGGGGGTGGGGCAAAGGCAGAGGGTCAGGTGGCCCCACTCTGCTCTGTTGTCTGCCAGAACGTGGTAAGCTGAGCAGGCAGCCACCTGAACCCACCTGGCTCCCTTTCTCTTCCTCTGGGCTAGGTTGTGGCATTTGTGTTTTCGAATTTTTTTAGAGATAGAGTCTTGCTCTGCTACCAGGCTAGAGTGCAGTGGTGCGATCACCACTCCCAGCTAATTTTAAAATTTTTTGTAGCAACATCTCGCTGTGTTGCCCAGGCTGGTCTCGAACTCCTGGCCTCAAGTGAGCTTCCCATCTCAGCTTCTCAAAGCACTGGGGTGTGAGCCATTGCACCTGGCCAGGCTGTGGCTTTACCCTGGGATCCTCTCAGAGGCTATGAACCCATGAGAGGTTGCCAAACTGTCTGGGTTTCTCTGGGGGAGGAATCCCTCCCCTCCCACTCTCTTTAGGTTCTCAACACAAGGAAGATGTATTCCATTGCATACAAATCCCACCCCAGTAAGAAAATAATGATTCAAGCATTTACAGTTTTTTTTTTTTTTTTTTTGAGTTGGAGTCTCACTCTGTCACCCAGACTGGAGTGCAGTGGCCGCTCCTGGCCACCACAGCCTCGACCTGCTGGGCTCTGGCGATCCTTCCGCCTCAGCCTTCCGAGTAGCCGGAATTACAGGCGTGCGCTACCACGCCCGGCTAATTTTTTGATTTTATTGTAGAAATGAGGTCTCACCTGCCCAGGTGGGTCTCGAACCCGTGGGCTCAGCAATCCACTCACCTCAGCCTCCCAAAGGCACGGGATTACAGGCTGAGCCACCGAGCCTGGCTGCATTTACAGTTTTTTAGAAAAAAGAAAACAGTGGCTTCTTGGCAGAAGCGGAACAGCTGTGTCCATCCATGGGATGGGGTGGGGGAACGGAAACTGGTCCTGCCAAGGGCTGGGCTCCGGGGTCAGGCCCAGGGGCAGAGACCACAGTTGTCAAGACCATGGCACCCCGACCCCTGGAACCCTGTCCACCTTGATGAGGTGGGATTTTCCAGGCCTCCTTCCTGGGTGCGCACAGTGGAACCATGCAGGAGTGGACTGGCTGTGGCAGCTTCCAGAAGGGCTGGGGAGCGAGTGAACTTCATCACAGGGCCTCCAGAAGCACCCCCTGCTCTGGCTCCTGCTAACCTTTGTTACTCTGTCTGGGCCTGATCATCTTGCCATTAGCAACAGCCGCAGGGTGGGGGCCTGGAGTCTGTGTCTTTCAGGCTGAGTGGACTGAGCTCACACCAGGAGCTGCACTTAGTGCTGCCTTGCTGAGCTGCCTCTTCCAGGCCACAGCCTTCTCTGAGCTGCCAATTCCACCCCTTTAAAAATGCAGTGGTTGCCTGGGCACAGTGGCTCATGCCTACGAGTCTAGACTTTGGGAGATCAAGGCCAGGAGTTCAAGACCAGCCTGGGCAGCACAGCAAGACCTTGTCTCTATAAAAAATAGAAAAATTAGCCAGGTGTGGTGGCACATGTCGGTAGTCCCGGCAGCAGCTGCTCTTTCTTGAATACTTGTCAGTCATCTTCGGATCTTTGTCAGAGCCCATTGAGGGCAGGACTATTATTGTCAGCATTATATAGATGAGGCTGACATGTGAAATGACTGCCCAAGATCACTTAGATGCCGAGCATGGAACCCAAATTCCAAGCCAGACCTTTTAGTGGGCTTTGCAAGTGCAGGAAGAAACCTCTCGCACATGCTGGGACATGGTCTAGACTACGATGGTGGGAACTTGCATGCCTCTGTGACCTGGGGGAGGTGACGGTGTCACTCACAACCTCATTAATAGTGTTCCATGCATTGTCTGCCAAGTTGACAAGGGGAGAATTGGACCTTGAGATGGATAGGATTGGTTCTGAGTGAAGTGGAAAGTTCTAGAATTGCAGGCTCCCCCTGGGGAGAGCAAGCTCAGTGGTGGGCAGTGTGGGGGAGTGGGGGCCGTGGCTGGGAGGAAGAGGTGGGAATATGCCACTGCCTCGCCCATTTCCTGGGGTCCCACTGGGTGGGGGTGGCTTGCGCCTGTTTCAGGAGAACTTGTGTTTTCTCTGCATGCGAGCAGTCCTCTAAGACGTCCCAGTTCCGTGGACTGGCAGTAATTAGATCCCTTTCTCATTCTTCTTTCTCCCCTCCCCGCCCCCACCCTGGCAGGATATTTTTTTGTGAGTTAATGGTCCCCAGAATGCAGCCTGGAATTTAATCAATGCTCAGACACGTCATACAGCCCAATAACACAGACAGACAACCCTGAGCGTTTGCTCCTGCAAAGCGTCCCCATATCTGCTGTCTCCATCCCAGGGAAGGAGGGGGTTTTGCTCAGATGTGCCCACTGCCCTGGGATGAATAGCCAGGGCCTCCCTTGGCTGCTGCTGGTGCCACTGTGCGAGGTGAGGGACTGGGCACCCTGGTCGTGCCAGCCTTCCTGCCGCCTGCTCCAGCTTAATTATTAATTCATAAAACCAGAAGGTCGAGTGGGTGATTTCCGCTGGTGGTGGCGGCCACCGTGAACAGCAGGACAGAAAGGCCTTTTGTTGTCCCTGCAGGGTGACCTTTGCAGATGGGCACGCTATCAGGAGTGGGCCTTCCATTCTGGGCACAGTTCCCTGGGAGGGCAGAGGAGGTTTTGGGGCCAGGTGCCTCTGGGAGGGTGGACAGGTGGCCACACGAGGCATCAGTACCCAGAGGTGGGCTTCAGAGGCCAGAGTGCCCCATGGGCCAAGGTTGGAAGGGGTTTCCCCAAGTCTCTCCTGAGCACTCATGCCAGGGTCCCGAGAACCAGAGTACATGTCTGGCACTTCACAGGCCTCCCCACATGGTGGTTCTAGGGGACTCCTTGTCTTCCCTCACCTGCAGCCCCTGAGACCTCTGCCAGAGTCCCACAGTGGCACAGAGGCTAACTTTTCACCACCTGGTCCTTTGCCAGCACTTAGATGTTGGTCGAATCACAGTGCTGCCTCTTCCTTCCTAGGCCTCCCGGAGCCTCGGTTTCCCCATCTGTAAAACAGGAGTAGAAATAGCACCCATGTCACAGGGTCATTGTGGGGATTAGGTAAGAAGTTGTACGAAGTGCTTGATCCATCATACGTGCTTGGGAGTTGTTGGCAGATAATAATCTATTGTAAATCTTTTAGAAGCTGGCTATGTCTCTTTCTTGTCTTTTCTTTCTTTTTTTTTTTTTTTTTTGAGTTGGAGTCTCACTCTGTCACCCAGACTGGAGTGCTGTGGCTGCTCCTGGCCAATGCAGCCTCGACCTGCTGGACTCCAGCAATCCTTCCACCTCAGCCTTCCAAGTAGTTGGAACTACAGGCGTGCACTACCACGCCCGGCTGATTTTTTGATTTATTGTAGAGATGAGGTCTCGCCATGTTGCCCCAGGCAGATCTTGAACCTGTGGGCTCAGGCAATCCACTCATCTCAGCCTCCCAAAGTGCTGGGATTATAGGCTGAGCCACCAAGCCCGGCTTATATGTCTCTTTTTAAAGGGCATTCTGTAACGTTCTTCAGTAATTCATTTCATTTTTGAAATGCCTGCTGTCTTGGACATGCCTAAAGTTAGTCATTTTCTCTGCTCTTGGGCTGATGATCAGGGACATTCACATGCTTTAATTTGTGTCACTCTGTAGTAGTTTTTCTGTACTTTTAAAACCTACATGTTCATGCCTATGTTTTAGGTAGACACTGTTAATTCTTGCAACCACTCTTCTTTGGGGATTTAACTTTCTTCTTATTTAATATACCTCTCTGTAGATTTTTCAGTGAGGCTCTATGAGTTGTAGATATTGCTTGAAAATGTCTTTATATTGCCAATATATGTGAATGATCATTTGGCTGGGTATAAAATTTGAGGTTGCTGAGTATTTTCTCTCATCACTTTGTTTTTGGTCTCTTGCTGTTGAGAAATCAGTTCATTGTCTAATTGATATTTCTTTGTAGAAACCTGTTTTTCTTTTCCTCTGTTTTAAAATTTGTGTTGTTGTGTTTTATATATGCTGTGTCTAGGATAGATTTATTTTTATTTATCCTGGAACTGGTTTATGCTGTTACATTGTAAAGAAAGGCTCATGACCTTCATCATGAAAATATTAGCTCTCTCTTTTCTTTTCATCTTCCTCAGTAATTCCTATTAGAAATATATTGGATCATCTCATTCTGTCCCAAATGCCTCATAACCTTCCTTTCATATTTTCTACCCTTTTATTGCTGTGTGCCATATTCTGGGTCATTTCCTTAGATCTGCCTTCTAGTTCACTAATTATCTCTTCAACAATTACAATTTTGCTGCTTTAATCTGTTGAGTTTTTATTTGTTTTTGAGTTAGAGCCTCACTTTGTTGCTTAGGCTGGAGTGCAGTGGCGTGCTCACAGCCATCCCAGCATCGTCCTGCTGGGCTCCGGCGATCCTTACACCTCAGCCTTCCAAGTAGCCAGAACTATAGGTGTGTGCTACCACACCTGGCTAATTTTTTGATTTATTGTAGAGACGAGGTCTTGCCAAGTTGCCCAGGCTGGTCTGAAACCCGCGGGCTCAGGCAATCCACTTGCCTCGGCCTCCCAAAGTGCCAGGATTACAGGCTGAGCCACCAAGCCTGGCCTGTTAAGTTTTTAGATTTCAGTGACTCTAAAAAAATATTTCTAAGTGCTGAATAAAACACA